TATAGGTTTCATATTTAAACCTTACATTGTATGCAATCACATAAACTATAGAGGTAATAAATAAACAGATATTTCCATGAAATATATCCAAGGTTGATTAATAACAAATAACATTAAATCATTCTCACCACCGTGTTAAAAATGATGGACAAAGATATCCTATAGTCATTTTCATCTACTTAAAAAAAATAACCTACAAGAAAAATAGTCCAGCATTCAAATAAAATGTTCACATATATTCATATATTTATATAACCTTTTTTTAATGCGTTCCTAATGTAACAAACAAAGGATATGATTATTCCAAATATAAAATCGATAATATTAGCATTTTTTTAAGGAAGTATTCCATCAGTGAAATTGAACTTTTTCCCATTCAATATTGGTTGAAGAATGACAAGAAATTTGACTTTAACTCAAATATTAAATATTATTTGTAATACATGCCACATCCACCTGTTAGATCAGCCTTTCGGAAGGCTCAAGTGTTTTAGTCTCATGTTTCTTTAAGAAAAATAGTTTAATTCCTTAATTTGTAGAATAGTTCAGTGCTCAATTTCCAAGTTGTTATGTATTTATTAGAGATGTCTAATGACAGTTGATATTTGGTGTAATGAGGGTAAAAGATAAATAAATCAGTTTTTGCTTATAATCTCAACTTGGATGTATTCTTTATTGGCGACGAAGTAAATAAAAATTGTTTATTGTGAAAATGGCAGCAACTGTTTCAAATATTGTGTTTCCTGGACAATTCAACCCAAAGACTGATAAGTGGTGTGATTATAAGGAACAGTTAATGTGCGCGCTCGACGCGGCGGGCGTCGGTGAGGATAACCTCAATAGGGGCCGATCACTGTTCCTTTCTCAATGTGGAAAAGACACTTTTGCATTAATTGCATCGCTTTTAGTTCCAAAAAGGCCTACAGAAGTACCTTTAGTGGAAATTTTGAGGGTTCTAGATAGGTTTTTCGAACCAGAAGTTAACGAAATTCTACAGGCGGGAAAATTTCACAAACGACAACAGTTACAGGGAGAAAGTGTACAGGACTATGTGGCGGCCATCAGCCAGCTCGGAGCTAAGTGCAATTTTATAGACTTGGAACGCCAGTTGAGAGACCGACTAGTGCTGGGGGTGCGGGATGATCGCTTACGACGCGACTTATTGAAAAAGAAGAAAATAACTTATGAAGTTGCACTACAAACATGTCTGGACTATCAAGTGACATTCCCTGATTTGTACCCTGCCAGTACGTCTAGCGAATCAAAGCAAACTCCGTTAAACGTCACCGATTGTGAACCTATGGACATTGGCATTGTAAAATCTAATGAATGTCGACGGTGTACACGCGGTCATAAGTCAGGCGAACGTTGTCCATTTTGGAAAGCAAAATGTTTCTATTGTAAGAAGTTTGGACACATCGCGGCGGCATGTGATAAAAAACTGGGCCGCATGCACCAGGTTAACGAGACGGGGGAATGTAGCAGAAGTGGTGATACGGCAGTAGAGGAAATGATGGGGATCTATGTTTGTACTGATAATTATACACCACCAATAACGGCAGAGGTCATAATAGACGGTGTAAAATTATTAATGGAAGTAGACTCGGGGGCATCACGGACCATTATGTCGGAGGAGACATATAAGAAGCTCTGGTCGACACCTCCACCGTTAAGAGCCACTACTTTGAAGTTGGTGACGTGGACTAGAGACCCAATAAAAGTGTTGGGAGTAGCAAATGTGCGGGTTATATTAGCGAACAAGGAAGCACAGTGTGAACTTGTAGTAGTGTCAGGAAATGGTCCAAATCTGTTAGGCAGGAATTGGTTCCAAACACTAGGACTTCAAGTGTCTGGTTTGTGCTGGTCGGAAGAGGATATAATACTTTATAAAAGGGAATTTCCTGAATTATTTAAAGAAGGATTGGGGGAGTACAAGGGCCCTAAAGTATCGTTACACTTACGGAAAGACGCCACGCCGCGTTTCTTAAAGGCTCGCGCGGTACCATACCCACTCAAACAGAAAGTGATTGAAGAACTGAATAAGATGGTAATAGAGGGCGTGCTAACACCTATTCGATATTCGAAGTGGGCAACACCATTGACACCAGTGATGAAAGATGACGGGACAATACGGATGTGTGGCGATTATCGTGTGACAGTAAACACCGCGATAGATACAGACACGTACCCCCTTCCAACAGCAAATGAAGCGTTTGTAAGGTTGAGTGGGGGTAGAATATTCAGTAAATTAGATTTAAAGCAAGCGTATACACAGCTAAAAGTTGATGATGCGACTGCAATGCTGTTAACACTCAACACTCCAATTGGTTTAATGAGAATGAACCGTTTACCGTTCGGTGTCAATGCGGCGCCAGCTGTTTTTCAACGCCTGATGTCAACGGCGCTTGCAGGTATGGAGGGCGTCGCCTGTTTATTGGACGATGTGGCGGTAACGGGATCCACCATTGAAGAACACAATCACAGACTTAGAGAAGTGCTAAGTAAATTGCAAGAAATGGGATTTCGATTGAATGAAAAAAAGTGTGTTTTTGCGGCGAACAGCATTACGTTCTTAGGCCACATGATTGATGCGGAAGGCCTCCACCCGGCACCTACGAAGGTAAAGGAAATTCAAGAAAAACCGGCTCCAACTAACAAAGAGACGTTGCGAGCCTTTTTGGGCTTATACAATTTCTATGAGAAATTTTTACCTGATAAGAGCACTATATTAGAGCCATTATATAGACTATTAGAATCAAAGAGACCCTGGAGCTGGGGAGAGAAAGAACAGAAAGCTTTCAATGAGGCAAAACGTTTATTGTCATCGGATCTCACATTGGTGGGATATGATTTACAAAAAGAATTGCTTCTCATCTGTGATTCTTCAGAATATGGAGTAGGAGCGATTATTGCCCATGTGATGAAAGACGGATCTGAAAGACCTGTAATGATGGCCTCGCGCACATTGCAAGCTCATGAGAGACGATACGGGCAAATTGATAAGGAGGCACTAGCAATTATATTTGGATTGACCAAATTTCACGAATTTTTAGCAGGTCGTAAATTTTGTATAGTTACAGATCACAAGCCACTGGTAGGGTTATTCAATCCTGCAAAGCCTATACCTGAACAGATTTCGCCTAGAATGTTACGTTGGTCACTTAAACTCGCTTGCTATGACTATAAACTAAAGTACAGACCTGGGAAACTAATTGGCAACGCGGATGCTTTAAGCAGATGGACCGCTACGGATACATCCAGTGTAAAGAAGGAAGTGTCTGGTGATCTGCTTCTGTTAGAAGAGCAGTTGAGCGGGTGGCAGCTAAATGCTGGCAAAATTGCTGAAGAAACTAAAAAGGATATGGTGCTGCAAAAAGTAATGTTCCATGTTTTACACGGCTGGCCACGCAAGAATACAGATTCAAGTTTACAAGCTTATTGGTCAAGAAGAGAAGCTCTTTCACATAATAATGACTGTTTATTGTGGTGTAACAGAGTAATAATACCGGCATCCTTGCAGGAAAAGGTTTTGAAGTTGTTACATGCTCCACACGCGGGCATGGTCCAGACGAAAGCGTATGCAAGAGGCTATGTATGGTGGGTAGACATGGATCGTCAAATTGAGAATATTGTAGCCGCCTGCCAACAGTGCCAATTAGTAAGAAATAAACCACCAAAGGACCCTCAATCTTGGATTGTTTCAGAGAAACCCTGGAGTCGTGTACATGTGGACTTTGCTGGACCCTTCCAGGGGAAAACATTTTTAGTTCTAGTAGATAGCTATAGCAAATGGTTTGAAGCCGAAATAGTACCAACGATGAATAGCGGGACAGTGATAACGGTGCTAAGGAAAATTTTTACTTCACAAGGACTGCCTGACATACTAGTTTCAGATAATGGACGCGCATTTACCTCGGAAGAATTCAATAATTTCTTAAAAAAGAATGGAATTAAACATTTGTATTCCCCACCTTACCACCCAGAAACGAATGGGCAGATAGAACGTGCAATTCAAACATTTAAAAATAAAATGAAGAAACTTGAAAGCCAGAATATACAATGGCAACAAAAATTGTGTAAAGTTTTATATTATTTAAGGACAGTTCCTAATAGTTCCACTAACAAAACGCCAGCGGAACTACTCAACGGGCGGAGATATAGAACAGCAGTGTCAGTCTTACACCCTGATTCGATGCCTAGCCGTACTGACCAGCAACGTGAAGTGGCGGCACAGCACCGGCCCACCCGTACCTTTGCAGTGAATCAACCAGTACTGATACACATGTATGGGCCAGGAGAAAAGTGGCGCAGAGCCACTGTGGAAACAATAGAGGGGCCAACGTCTTACAGGGTGAAAACGGAAGATGGAGAGTTACATCGCCGCCATACTGACCAAATCTTGGCCAGACCATCAGACATGACATGTCGCCCATCTGAGTTAGACAGTCAACTCATGAAGGATTCAGATTCAGAATTGACACCGGATTCCCCCATATTGATTCCACCGCCTGATTTATGGCCAGATATTATAGGAATACCTAATTAGCATTTCATTATTGTGATTGTCAATTTTAAAATATTATTATGTATCTATTGATTTGTAAGATAGAATCATTGCTTTGTAAACCAATCAATATGAGAGAAAGGTATGTTATGTATTTATTAGAGATGTCTAATGACAGTTGATATTTGGTGTAATGAGGGTAAAAGATAAATAAATCAGTTTTTGCTTATAATCTCAACTTGGATGTATTCTTTACAAGTGTAATAGATAAACCTAAATGATCAATAGAGTAGAAAAGCTTTATGTAAATAAGGAATAAATTCCATTTAGTCAGGTAAAGTTTATTTAAAACACAAACTTTCTTTCTTTTTTTCGTTTTGGCTCATGTCTAGATGTTCTAGATTGTAACCAATATTTAATATCTTATTTCTACTAACACTAATTTAAATTAAGAATTAGGGACTCAATTATGTAGCACTTATAATTATAAACTCACCTATTTTCTTGTAAGATCTGGTTGCTGTGCTGTGTGATAACTCCTGAGAAGGTGAGAGCTTGGCTGATACTTTGTCCTATAGCATCCTGTGAGGATATCACTAGATTCTCCACAGATTTTCTCCTGCAAATTTTGTATGTTTTATGTACAATTTTTATTTATATTCCACAAAGAGAACTTGATTATATCAATATTATTACCTAATTCAGAAATTAATAGATCACTAAATATCATACCATGACACATCATAGAAATTTCTTAATCTATAAATGTAAATATTTTATTATTTAATCTAAAATATAATGAATTATAATGGACAATGTAATGTGAGATAAAGTATGATGCAATTTAACTATGTTTGTCTGTGTTTACGGGGCAAACACCAGTCATGATTGCAAGATAAGCCTATAGTTTAATAGTGTTCGATCTGCATACAGTGCCCAATCAAAACTACTGCGATCTGTATAGATCATTGACCCCTCAACTCGACTTATTATCCTTCGTGTAGTGCTAAATCTACACTAGCAAACCCTGTAGACTATTGTTAAAATATAAAACAAACAAAGCTATTGCGTCTATAAGAAGTCACGACGTAATATTAGCTCTATAATTAGTAAATAAGCATCGATATTACTAACATCGAAATTGCAATGTTGCGGCTATCCAATTCTGAAGTGGTCATATTAGTGGCGGTATTTAATTCACTTTTGTGTCAGCCACACGCGAGCTATGATCGACAGCTACGTTTTTTGCTATCATCATCCGAATAAAAGAACTTTTTTTGTACAAAAATCAAGGCGAATCGAAACTAAATTGATTCCGTAGACGAAAGATCACAACTGTGACAGCTGTTTCTTACTTGCCAGTACAATTATTCGTAATTGTATAAATATGGCAACTTAGGAACATACTTAATCATAGATTAAGGATAGTTACTTTGGTTTTTAGGTTACTGTATATTTTTTATCAACAATAATATTATAACTTCTTGGATATAAACCTGCGCAGTAGATGGGTAACACACGATATTATTTTTAATTATAGAATTTTGTATAACTAATCGCTGTGGGTTTGAATTTTTGTTCTCAGGGTTTGATAAAGGTTTGATTTTTTTTCAATAGGTGAAAATGAAATAGTAACCCTGCTTGAGCTATAAGTAGTATTTTTTGTGAAATGTCAATGTCACATTGATTGACTGTCATAATGAAATGTCAAATGTCAACGCGTTATCCTTCCCTAGTAGCTTATTCCTTGTATGTTCATAATTCACATGTCGGTGTTTATTTCATTAATTTCTTGTTTATAATAAATTACCGCAAATGAAGTAATTATGGCTGATGAGAGCGCTTTTGATAAGAAGAAAGCGCATCGTGCAAAACATGCTGGTCGTAAAGCAGAGAAGAAGAAAAAGAAACATGCTGTCGACCAATCTAACCTAAGCGCTAGGCAACGAAATTCTAAAGCGTTTGCTATCCAGTCTGCCGTGCGGGCTGAGAGGAAATTCAGACGACGAGAGGATGTTATAGCCAAGAAGCAGCATATACCACAAGTGGACAAAACACCTGTTGAATCGCCACCGATAGTCGTGGCCATTGTGGGACCGCCGCGAGTTGGCAAAACAACACTCATCAATAATCTCATCAAGAGTTTCATAAAAACAAACGTAACAAGCACGAACGGCCCTATAACCATCGTCACATCGAAGAAACGGCGTCTGACCCTCATAGAATGCAATAACGACATCAACTCCATGATTGATATAGCAAAATGCGCTGATCTCGTTCTATTATTATGTGACGCTAGTTTCGGTTTTGAAATGGAGATATTTGAGTTCCTCAATATATGTCAAGTGCATGGTATGCCTAAAATCATGGGTGTTCTGACTCATCTTGACATGATAAAAAATGCCAAAACATTGAAAACTACTAAGAAAACACTAAAACACCGTTTCTGGACAGAAGTGTATCCTGGTGCTAAGTTGTTCTACTTGTCGGGAATAGTCCATGGAGAGTATTTAAGGAATGAGATAAAAAATTTAGCTAGATTTATCTCTGTGATGAAATTTAGACCATTGAGTTGGCGGAGCACACATGCATATCTGCTCGCAGACCGGCTAGAGGACATAACAAGTCAAGAGACAATAAGAAAAGACCCAAAAGTAAATAGAGATGTTGTACTCTATGGTTATGTTAGAGGTGTGCCATTGATGAAGGAATCTATGGTTCATATAGCAGGTATAATGTTTTTTATTGTACCCTTTACTTCACATGTATCATTGTTTATATTTATTTATTTATAAATTGCTCACTACACTTACAGTGCCCCAAAACATGTAGCGAGCCATTGGTTTGTTGTTGAGAATGCTGAACCAGTTTACCAGAACTAATACTAATAAGCATGATTCTCGTATGGTCCTGGCATAGAATAGGCCACCCCTTCCTTTCCTGTGGGTGTTGTAAGAGGCGACTAAAGGTGGGCGAGGGATAGGCAGCAATGTCCCTCTTAAAGCATCTCCAAAGCCTAACTGTGGTTGCCAATCTACATGCCAAATATGGCAACTATTGGCAAAACTCCCCTAGGCGAAGGCTTTTTTTTATACTTAGAATGACAAACAAGCTGACGGCCCACCTGATGGAAAGTGGTAACCGTCGCCTATAGACATGAACAGTACTATGGACATAACAGGCCAAATGCGTTGCCATTCCTGAGGACTCAAGTGTTATTCCTCTGTACCCAGTAAATTCACACCATATCCCACCCTTCAAACCGAAACACAGCCATGCAAACACAACTGCTTCACGGTAGAAACATGATTGGGACAGATGTACCCAAGTAATGGACTTTTGTACAAAGTCTCTCTGGTTATGTTTGGCAGTGGACAGTTGAAAGCTGATATGATGATGATGACTGGGAATAATTTTGTGAAATTACTATTTTATGGACTATCATATACTAAAGTTATAATAATTTTGAATTAAATCTTTTAGAAACTTAGTTCCTATTGGTCCTTATAATTAAGATTTCGCTGTGATATCAAATTGAAATTTTAATTTAAGAGCTAGGTTTAGAGAAATGGTGCTTTACACTTAACCCCAATACATTAGTATGTTTAAAGTCTTGCTGTTAATGGATTGCCTAGTATGAAATTTTGTAAATACTTAGTATTTGACAAGGAGAAGGATTTAGGCTACATTTTATTTCTGTCACGCTAATAAAACTGTAAACATATTCATGTTTACAGTAAATTTTTTTTTACTATTGAATATGCTGTCATATGCAGAATATAAGTGGAGTAAAACTCTACTATTAAATTAAATTAATTAGTTAAATATTATTTAATTTTATGTTATAAATAATGTTTAACATTAATAGTTTCACATCAATTGAGTGCTTGCAACCCATCACAGGTAGACAGAAGATTTCTATTTTTTTTTAAATTAAATGTATTTTATTAAGAAAAACATATTAAGCCCAAGCTGCTCACCTATAATATAGCTTGCCATAGGTGAAATTATGTTTAAAAACAAGCATGTTCCATTACAAATAAAAATAAAATCTTTATTCCTTGTTTATTTATCATTAATGTTATATTATTAATATGAATTTAGAAATTTAGAGCTCCTATTTCTAATATTGTGATCATATTGTAGGTTGTAATGTAGACTTTTCTATTTTTAGGTGTGGGAGACATGAAAATCAGTGAACTTTCCTATCTACCAGATCCATGTCCTCTTCCAAGCAGTGAAAAAAAACGACATCTGATGGAGAGAGAACGTCAGATTTATGCCCCATTCTCTGGTGTTGGTGGTATTGTTTATGATAAAGATGCAGTTTATATTGAATTGAAAGGTTCTCACTCACACAAACATGAAGATGAAGAAACAAATGAAAAGAAGGCTTTACTCAAAAATGTTGTAGATACTAAAGAGACTGTTGATGAACAAATGCAGGAGAGTGGGTTTAAGCTGTTTAGTGGAGGAGCTGTTATATATCCAGAAATGATGAAAGATGATGAGTATTTGCAACATAATAAAATTCAAACTAAGTCAAATAGTGATGATGACAGTTCAGATGAATCAAGTTCTGAAAGAGAAGAAGAGTCTGATAATGATAGTGGCATTGATCAAAGTGAGAAAGATGTTTTTGATAAAACCAAACTACCTTGGGAAGATAATTCTGGTTCAGAACAGGATGATGATTCAGATGATTCAGACACTATAAATGATAATATGAAAGTATCCAATGAAAATTTTGAGAATGAGGGAGATTTTGATACAAAATGGAAAGAAAAATTAAGTGAAAAAGCAACAGATGCATACTATGAAAGGCAGAGAACTTCAAAAAATATAATGAAACTTGTATATGGGGATTTTGATATTGGTAATAAAACAAAACAAAAACAAGAACAATCTGATGATAACAGTGACAGTGATGAAGAAGAAATTGGAGGTTTGTTCAAAAAAGTAACACATACACAGAAGAAAAAACAAAAAGAGAAAGAAAAGCTGGATTTAGATGAGTGTTCATTTTTTTATAGTTTGGATAAACCAAATGTAAGAGACTGGTCAAGTGAAAATAACAAACAGTATTTGATGAATTGTTTTGTTACTGGAAAGAGATCAGCCGACGAGGATGCATCAGAGTTACTTAAGTTAGATGATGCCAGTGATGGTGATGATGAAGATCTGTATGGAGATTTTGAAGACTTGGAAACAGGTGAGAAGCATACTGCTGATGAATCTAAAGATCCTCAAGTGGAGATTGGAACAAAAAGGAAAGCAGAACCTACAAAGTCAGAAATCCTTGACAAAAAACTTAAACTAAAAGCAAAATTTGATGCTGAATATGACAATCCAGATGATCATAGAATTAAAGGTGACCATTCTTATTATGAGAGCTTGAAGGCAGAAGCATTAAAGCAGTCTGAACTTAACAAGTCAGTCTTTGAAAATTTGGACAATGGTCTGAGGATTGAGGTTGAAGGTTTTAGACCTGGTTTATATGTAAGAATGTTATTCAAAAATATGTCATCAGAATTTGTTACAAACTTTGATTCAAGTTATCCTATTCTTATTGGAGCATTGAATATGGCAGAGCAAAATATAGGATTTGTATCCTGCAAAGTAAAAAAACATAGATGGTACAAAAAGATTCTAAAAACAAATGATCCATTGATCATTTCTTTAGGTTGGAGAAGATTTCAAACTCTACCTATTTATTCAAAGATAGAGGATGACTTGAAGTGCAGATATTTGAAATATACACCAGAGCATGTTACATGCAATATGCATTTTTATGGTCCAATTACACCACAAAACACTGGCTTTCTTGCCTTACAGACTGTAAATAATAATCCCAACGAAATAAAGCAACTAGGATTCAGAATTGCAGCCACAGGCAGTGTCAATGAAATCAATAAATCAACACAAATTGTAAAGAAATTAAAATTAGTAGGAACACCTTTGAAAATTTATAAGAAAACTGCTTTTATTAAAGATATGTTTACAAGTACACTTGAAGTGGCAAAATTCGAAGGCGCAAGAATAAAGACAGTATCAGGCATTAGAGGTCAAATTAAAAAGGCATTGAACAAACCAGAGGGAGCATTCAGAGCTACATTTGAGGATAAAATACTTATGAGTGATATTATATTCTGCCGAACATGGTTTAAAGTAGATGTCACGAAATTTTATGCACCTGTTGTTAATTTATTGTTACCTGTAGGTGAAAAGAATGCATGGCAAGGAATGAAGACTAAAGGACAATTAAAGAGGGAACGTAATATTCAGAATGAGGCCAACACTGATTCCATGTACACAGAGGTGATTAGAGAAGCTAAAGTGTTTAAGCCGCTAACTATTCCAAAAACTTTGCAGAAAGGTTTACCATACAGATTTAAGCCTAAACTGAAGACAACAACATTATCTGGTAATGACCCTAAGAATAAAATGAAGGAAAGAATAGCTGTAGTGAAGAGTCCGTATGAGCAGAAAGTTACTAATGTGATGAAAATGTTAAAAACAAATTATGAGAAAAAGAAAGAAGTCCAGAAAGAAGCGACAGCTGAAAGATTGAAAATGCACAAAAAGCAACAAGAGGAAGAAGAATGGCGGCGGATTAAGAGGCAGAAAGAATTAAAAAAGAAGATTTGTAGACATTTAAGTAAAATGGGCAATAAAAAGAAAACCCAAATGTGATAAACAAATTTTCAGTAAACTCGCCTATTGTATAAAATCTTTATGGTTTTATTTCATTAGTATTTTATCTCTTATGTAAAATAAATTACTATGAGTATAGCTTGAACGCACACAAACCAGTGGCATGATAATGAAAACTGCACTACACTTATACAAGGGCTTTTATTTGGACGTACCAAATAAAAGTAATTAGGGCTTCTGGATAAGTGGCGAGCGAATTCGTCGATGGAATCGACATAGCTAGCGAGTCCGTGAGTTGGAATGAGATATCCGACGTTGCTATCTCATTCTGTCTCGCGGACTTGATGGCGATGTCGATTCCATCGACGAATTCGCTCGCCACTTGTCTAGAGGGCCAGTATAGAAAAAAATAAAACAATGAGTTGTATCGTGTAAATTGTATTTACCTCTTATCATTATGCAAAACGTATGTCGTCATCGCACATCTGATAAATATTTTTTACAAAGGTTACACAGTAGTTCAGATTACATTGGTCAAAATAATCATTGTCTAGATTAACAAACCTGTTCAGACATTACAATAATGCCCTACACTTTACCAAAGTTTCCTGTAACATTACTCCTCTAACACATTAGTCGAGGGCTGAAGCGTTAATGATTACACAGAAAGCCTGGAATGTAAAGGCGGCCGGTGGCGTACTTAGTGCCTGTTTACACGATCTGCTTGCAAGGTACCCAGTGTCTATGGCTGGGTGTGTAAAAGAACTTTCCCATGTATTAGCGTATCTGTTTGGCTATATTAAGCTATGTGAAAGCCAAAAATAGATCTCGGTACCAGACGCCGGGTACCCTACAGCCGGATCATGCCAAAGGCAGTTACAGGAGTGCCCGCGACATCTCAACTGCCACATTGGCAACACTAGCGCAGTACACACTCGATATACACTCCCACCACTATACGAAGCTATGCAACACATTTATATGCAAAATTATATACATTCAAAATTTCACTAACAATCTATTTTACATTTATTCCTTAACGTGAAGGTAACTTTACTCTTTGGTAGCGCGAGCCACTGGGACGTGATCCGTGGGACTGAGCATACTCTCGTACGATCCCCATGACCACCACACACTTGTTGTCACGGTAAATTCACTATTATCCACAGTGCCTGCCTGTCACGTCACGCTGTTGGGTTAGATTAAGCTCATAATCTCGCATGAACTACATTAAAGTATACAATTGTCTGAGACCAGAGCTGTATCCGCAATACAAAATACCATACCATTAAAATTATACAGGAAAAACGAAAATTCAATAAACTCTTTTTTTTTTTTACACTATTAATACTGTCTCTGTTCATCCCGAAAGGTAAATAAACAATTATTATATCTATTTACATATAGATATAAACAAATATATGTTAACATTCGTTATACAACGTCAATATCACGAAGTCGATCCGTCACTAGCGGCGGCGGTGTCGTCTGTTACGTAATTTTGGTTCCAATTTATATCAGGGTACGTTCTTAATTGCCGTGTGCTCGTAAAAGGAGACTAAGGGAACTCAATGGTGGAGAGAAGGCAGCAGTGTCCCTTTTAAAACATCATCAAAGCGATTGCCAACCCGCTTGCCAAATGTAGCAACTACTGGCAAACCCTCCCCCCCCTCTCCAATAGACCTATGTCCAGCAGTGGACAGTTAACGGTTAATATAATAAAAGGAAATAATTAATACTCCCTCTGTGTCATAACATCAAGGGTTTCCAACAATATTAATTTTATTACATGCCCTCATAAAGTCCACCGCCAGATCATATTAGCTTTATGGGTAAGCAAATTCTCTTGACGCTATCGGTGGTGTCATGGGGACTCAAAGTTTTCTATAGCGGACAGTGAGTTGGAATGTTTGGTGATATCAACGAAGTCGGCCTGCGCCGCGTCTGTTCCTTAGAACTTTGTCTAAACGTTGGCACTTGAGGAGGTGTGTTACGGATTACAAAGTACGACTTTCACTTTAGGAAACCGAAAAAAAATGTATAAACGAACACGAGTAATTGTAGATGGCAGCACTGAGCCCATTTACGAAAAAAAAAACCAGATTTTTTTGCTTCTAAAAAAAAAAATTGGTATGACAATTTAATGGTATTTAAAATGCGTGTTTGATTATAGGCTTGGTCACTTGTGTTCGGTCTTAAAAAAATCATAAAATATTTACGTACTTTGATTTAGTTTTTCAATGAGAATACGCATAAGACAGTAGGATTCTATTTCTTCAGATAAATTTAACTGTATTTAAATGAACCTATTAGTTCGCTTCGTTGACTATTCAGCTATATAACGAAGTATTAACGCAGTGCTAGACAAATCAGACCTATAGGAACGTACGTGATACTTACACAAGATGGCGCTGTTCGTATCTTTCATCATATTTCAGAATCAGTGGCGTAAATGTTGGATAGATCATATATCTATATATGGGGTGAAACCGAATTATACAAAATACGTATAAATAACGTATTATTATAAAAGTAAGACCGTGTAATCATGATATCAAAATTTAGAATAAAATTATGTATGACGCGATACCCCACCGGTGTACGTAAAACTCGCTGAGTTGATTTTTCAAACTACCTACTTTTATGATAATTTTTTTCACGAACACAACTGCTACACGGTAGAAACACGAATGGGACAGAGGTACCCAAGCAATCGACATTTGTACAAAGTCTCCTTCTGGTGTATCCCTGAATATTCATTATTATTATTTTTTATTTGCTGTTTCCAATCAGAAATGTGTTGTCTTTAATTAATAAAGTCATCTTTTTTACTTTGTGTTCAATAATATAATAGTGAATTTGGTCCTAATTAACTTTGCAATAAAAGTAAATAAAAAAGAATATATAGACGGGTGAGGGGTGGAGGGGGGGGGGGTGTTATCAACACATTTACGCCTCTGATATTTCTACATAATGCACCCGAGCATATCGAGCCCAGACGGCACTTACTGCGTCCACTTTATACAAAACTTAGCTACACCCAAAAGCTATACACTAATCGATAACTAAATAACCATTTCATAAACATATATTGCATTTATAAAACTCTATGTAGACGCTATATATATATACATACATACATATAGGTATAATATATTTTTCCTGTCTTCTTTGATAAACAAATTTAACATGTATCACTAAAATTGCTGTTAACGTATTTAATAAATAATTTTTCATTAAAGTATTTCTTATCAACTGTATTCATTAAAAAAAAAAAAAAAGATAAGCTTGAATAGTTTAACAAATAAGACAAGAAAAAAATATATTATATGTATAATATTTTACTTCATAGTGAAAATTTTGATGTGTATGAATGATATAGGTCGAGCGAGTCACCAGCCTCCCATACACCGCCAAATAGTCCGACGTCGCACGCGTGTTGACTGGCCGGCGATATAAAAACTATACAGCATTGGATTTGTATGATCACCGCTGAATGCCGTGTAACCATACAAGTAGCTATAACTCGAATTATGACCTTTTACAGTTAATTAAGAGGCCCATTCAATACGAATAACTGTTATAGGTATACCATCAGTCTTCATATAAATAAATTACCATTAGCTATTTGATAAGTTGCGAACTTACTATTGTAAATATATATTTATTATTATAAATAAACGAATATTTTTTATTAAACACATTAATAGACTCGTGTTAAATAACAACAATAAAAAAAAAACCACAAAATTAAAATAGTTTTCGAAAGGGCCTCCTAACATGACACTCAAACTCTTTCTATCCTCCTCTAATCGCAATAGAACGAAAAGGATAGTACTAGTTAAAGTGACCGACGATGCAGAGTTAGTGACGCAACAAAACACCACAATCCGTTTACGTTCCATTCACGTTTCAGCTCGCATCAAAGGCAGATATCTCAACGTTAGTCGGATATCTGGAATACTAAATATATATTTAATCTTTTTACATTGAGTTCGACCGAATATAAAACAATTGGGAGATGACGACCAAGCAGCGACGGCGGCGCGCGACACACCAACAAATCTACAAATAATTTCATAATCTTTACAATCACACTGGTGGTCACACGCAAACTTTCCTAATTTTAATTAATACTGTTACGCATATATATATATATGTATATATATATATATGTATATATATATATATATATATATATATATATATATATATATATATATATATATATATATATATATATATATATATATATATATATATATATATATATATATATATATATATATATATATATATATATTATATTATACATTATTATTATTTACTTAAAAAAAAACTTATCCAAATTTAGCAGCCCTTCGTTTTATTAATACAAAACCTAATGTTCATGATAGTTCACGACAACCGTAAGACAGACGAGGTAATTATTTCTCAAAATACCGATTAAGGGTACATTGTACAGCTCCGACACGTGTTACAATAATAACTTTAATAAATAAATAATACCTAGTTAATAAATAAAGCGTTAAAAATAATAAAATCTAATCGTTTGAACACATCCTAGCTAGATATTGCTACATTTCGTAACTACACATAAAAATTGTTATAGTATAGAAACCATATTTACAGTATATTAGCTATTGATAAAGATTCCACCAAATTATAAACGGTTAGCTATACATTTTTTTTTTTTATTTATTTTCATTAACTATTGAAGTTCGGACACCGGGTGATAAACGATCGAAAAAAAAAACTATTTTAGTGTAACCTATATTGTTCGATAGAGCGCTGTACAGGTCCTGATATACATGTATCTCTTTCTAACCAATAATATTGTTTGAAAGGGATAGAATATATTTTTCAAATACATTCCCTCAGGACCTCTGTAATGATATATAAATTATTGCTTAAAATACATAATGTATTGTTATACAATCAATACGAGACACGATCGGTTATCGCCCGACGTCACAGAAATCAAATCGGCTCGTCCGCCATTTCGCGGTCTCCGCCATCTTGGTTACTGGCGCGGAGGCGGCGGCAATGGCGGCGCGCCATTACATACAGTAAACGCGATTAACAAAAATATACCTAGCTACGTCTCGGTTCACGATCGCTATGCTAATACAAAGTTAATAAAATACATGATTACAAAACAACTTTAACAACTGTACATGAGACTAGTATGTGTGTGCCCTCGTGTCGATACGCGTACTATGTTAGAAGCGATTAAGCATACTGCCGCTATTTATTTTTTTTTGTATGTGATCCGTAAACTTATTAAAGCATCTCTCTTATATTATCTGTGACCGTTTCTGTCTGTTGACCGTCAGCGTTTAGATTTATAGGACGTGGCGACAAATATTTTCTATATAGATTTAAGACGTCTATAGATGGTCAAGCGGCTGAAGTTAAGCTCGAATCTATTGCCGCTTGTAGAATAAAAACAGCAAAATCGCGTTTTTTGTCTTATAAGCGGAAATATAGGTGTTTGATTTATACCGTTTGGCTACCTATGGAAACCATAAGTGCATTTATACCAGTGTTTGGCAATATTAAACAAAAATTCTTATTATCAATAAAATTTTGATAGAAAAATATTATTTTGAATCTTTAAAAGTAAAAGTACGTTTTAAATATCCATTCAGAAATGATAAAAATTATGTATATATTTTTAAAGATTGAAAAATAAGACAGATGTCGCTAGAATCTGGTACATTTGTTCGTAAATTGAAACAAACTAAATGCTCTTACGGGTCAGTCGATTAGAATTATTTTGTTTAATTCCGCTACCATTAATTTGCGTGCAACTGGTAACACTCGAAGATTGACTACTATTATTATAAGTAGAAATTCTACGACTTTCCATGTTAGTCATTATTCTCCTAAAACCTAGTTTCGTAAAAGAAAAGCTCTCATGGGTTCCGTAGACAATCAATCGGTTTGAGTTAAGCACACTTATATTATCATTTGTAAGATAAAGAAGGCATAATAGCTGCATCTCTTTTCTACACGCGGTAACAGATACATGCATAAATCAAGATGCATGACCGTCGACAGGTTCCATTATGCATCTCTTGGTTTATTTATATTAAACAAAAATTTAAGGACTAGGATTTATTAATAGAGGTTTGTTGATTTAAGCCAAATTCGGCTACGGTCAACAGACGGATGCTAGTACACATGAGGTATACTGTTGCATAAAATGATCTGTCAAACGGAGAGGCACACAGTCTACGTAAAGCTATATGTACACACCTCGGCGAGGCACTTGGTATTCGGGCATGTGGCGGGGCACCAACACGACGGCCGACGTTGTGGACCAAGGCAGAAATGCACCAAGATTGTATTTACGAAAATAGGTCTTGTCTTGTAGAACATAAGGATCATTGAATAAATAATAATTTATTTGGTTGGCGACACAATCTCAATATTACAAAGTTGGACGATCCACTGATCGCCTATAGATATAGAGGACATTTTATGGACTTTGATGTATATAGGCGACGGTTACCACTTACCATCAGTGGATCGTACAGCTTCTTTGCCATTTTTACTAACGCGACAAAAAAATTAATTGCATTTTATCTCATCCCTATACATACCAACTACAGATCAAAAATAACAAAACCAAGATGTCTTTTGAAATATCAGATACGCGCAAGTGCATTTGCTGCCTTTCAAAGTGCCAACAAATTGTTGCAATTCAGGCGTGGAACGACAAAGTTGACAGTTCGATATATCACAATTTGTCCACAAAAAATTTACACGGAACATGATCGTGTATGGGTACCCTTAGCACCAATTTGGCGGACTTCAAGTCCAGTTGGAATACCGAGTGGATTAGGCTCACACACAGTCACGCACCCTCAGCGTGAAACACAAAATTTTTAACTTAATGGATTTTTCATTACCTTTTTTTGTAGACAAACTTTTGATCGGTTAAGTTCTCAGTATGATGTACACGCTGCGTCGTGTGCGACAGTGTGTTCACCGCCTAATTTCAAGAACAAATATTGTATCCGTACGTGAAATCACAATACCGTAACACTAGAGGGCCGGCCACTGCTTACAATTACGACTCCATTTAAACGGAACACATTACAACGGAATATTTTATACATGGAGTTAATTGTACACAGTGTAACAGTATCCTAATTATATTAGTTAGTTGTAACTAATATTTGGCATCAGAATATGACATTGTTCATGTATGGGTGCCGTGCTCTGGCTAATGTTACCATATACATGGTAAAGAGTTAGCCTCTTAATCATAAGAATTAAAATTTACAAAACCCATTTTAACTATTACAATATTTTGTCACTTTCATTCAAAATAAGAATCTAGAGCAAAAGAAAGAGACAGAACTTCGAAAGCTAAAATAAATATATTTGTCGTATGATATTTTCACGAATGATCTGGTCAGAAGGTATAGAAGTATTTTGTCCCATTCCTTTATGCTAAATTTTATTTTGAAAGAAAACGACAGGACCATTTTAAAATATTGAAAAATTTATTCACTTACATCAACAAGAGGATAAGAAAATAAGTCGCTATCGAAAATCACACTTGATAGTATTAAAAATTTATAACAGTTGAAATGTAACATTTCGCCTCGAGCACGGCAACCCCTCAAACTCTATTTATGACAATAAATACTGGAATACACGTTAAGTACATAGTAAATCTACATTATCAGAGCACTTGTATTTCATATAATTATATATCCCACAAGCATTAATTTCGCTACGACTGTTTAATATTTAAATATACACATTGAAAACTTTATTGTATCAACAACGCTTCCATTTTGATTTCAAATATGGCAACACTGGGTGGTCGTAATTAATTTTTAAAAATTGATTATATTTCTCATTTATGTAGGAATGGAAATTTGTACTAACTATACAGTATCGCATTTTTGTTTAAGGTTAAAGTACACAGTGTTGCCATATTGAAATATAGAAGACTTAGACCACAGGATCGAACCATCACGTCTTCCTTTCACACCTTCATCCTTAGAAACCAGCGTATTTTTTTATATAGAATAACTAACAATGACTTAGTAACAGTGTTTTATAAATTAATTTATAAGGTTTATTTCATTGTAGTAATTTAAAAAAAAAATAGTTTTATACCTTTTCCATTCTATATTTCGTTTTAGACATTTACTTGAGAACGTAACTGTTTCGTGTCAAAGAAAACTGTTCACTGTTAAACTGTATAGTTCTATTTAACGAAAATGTCATAATACCATAAATTTATTGATTAATGTAATATAATTAGCTGTCAAATGTAACTTAGAAATAGAAAAGTGTATATTAATAAACATTATTTTAATATTTTTGTCGTTTCATGACTGTAATTGTCGATTTTGTGTTCTACATACATATGTATTTGTACCAAATGTAAATAAATATCTATTTAAAAATAAATAAAAGTAAAAAAAAATCTATAATTAAACCTTCACTAACCATCCGGTGCTCGCTGGCTTCAGGCGGTTCGTACCGGTGCGGACCGGTTTAGGACAGATGTAACCACTTGGGAGTCACACTAATATAGACACTAGGTAGTATCACATTGAGTCTTTATTGGATGGTCACTCTGCCTCTGTTCGTTCAACTTGGCCAGTCTTTCTCTATGCTACCGTTCATGATCGTTCGCTACACATCTACACTTTTGGTTCGATAGACAAAACTCACGCTTCACTGCATTTTTTTATAGAGGCAACACTTAAGTTAACAGATGTTTTTAAATAAATAAAGGAATTAACAATACAATGTTGTACTGATAATTAATTCGGTAATATATTTGAATTTATTGAGAGTATAATGTGGCAATACTAGTAGTTCTAGTATCAGATATATTTGAAATTGTCAATAGCATATGGCAATACAAGTACCATCATTTTATAATGAATTATAAAAATCATTATGTAATTTACTAATCGGTAATTTGGTATCCAGAAAAGAGTAACAAAAAATATTAAATATTTACATATAATGCCTGTTACCAACATACATATATTATAAATAGTAGAAAAAAAATATGTTGGTAACAGACACAGTATGTTTATAATAGGTATTGAAAAAGTGTACAAATAATACTTGGAAACATTTGGTTACCTACTCTTTTCGTAACATTCGAATCGTTCAATTTAACGTCACAGTGTAAGGAACGACCAGTAGATCCACGCCTTTGGCATGTCTCGGACTTATTACATAACAAGTGCGCGCAGACGAGTCGGACGACTGGCAGGTGCGAGTTGTTAGACTGTGGCAACGTGGAGCGTATGTCTAGCGAACCTCCGGCGGCGGCGGCGGCGGCGGCGCCTAGTTGATGGCGTGGTGTCAGGAGGCGGCGGCGTGGTCGTGCTGCAGCCGCGACGTGCGCTCCGTGCCCGTCTTCAGCAGCAGCTCGAACTCCCCCTCTAGGATCTGCCGCGCCTGTGACCGACACAAGTGAATGGGTAAAATACAAATCATCGGCATCCTTTCGAAGAAGTATCCTACTAGTGAAGTAGAACAATTTTCCAAAGAAGCATAGCTGATGTAATGTAAATAGGACTCTATTTTCCACGCTTAGCCTCTCATTTGGGCCGTTGTGCGTATGAGTCGTGGCTACTACAGCCAACCTAGCTCCGCCCATAAGTACAGAAGCTTCCTGGGATCTTCACAGACCTCACGGAGCGACCTCACCCTTTCAAAGATTTTTAAACGTTAATGGGCCACAGCTTCACATTCCAGGATTACGTGAGCAGCTGTTTCTTCGGCGTCAAAACAGCCTCGACATAGAGGGCTGTCTTTGGCTCCTATTGTGTATAAATATTTGTTTAATGGACAATGGCCCGTTATTGTCCCTATCATTATTTTGAGGTTTTTCCTATCTAGATGTAATAAACGTTTTGATAGTCGTTGATTCAACGTAGGCACGGCCAATTTTGATTGTCTGCAATCAGTAGCCTGTATCCATCTTTGGTTTTGTATGTTAGCGGATCTTTGACGAATCCATATTCGAAATTGCGAGAACGGAAGAGGAAGAAGTGGATACGGGCCTACCACCCTCGTTCCTGAACCTCTTTCAGCTAGTTAGTAGATGCTGCGGCATCGTTACCATAAGAAGCATAGGTTCAAAAATGACAATAAATTTTGAGTCTTTAATTTTGATACCCAAATCATGTTATGTGAGGTAACTATGTATATTAATGTATGGAAGTAAATTTTTTTATTTTGGTGGAAAATGAATTAAAAAATCATGTATGATATGAGTGGTGTAAGGTATGTGATGGTACGATGCATGGTACCTGCGTGTTCTGCGTGGGTATCTGCAGCGCGAGCGCCATGCTGTTGGCGTCGAAGCTGTCGTCGAGGGCGATCAGCGCGCCGTGCACGCCGCTCTCCACTAAGTTGTTCGCGTACTCCTGCATGCAACCGATATATTGTATTTATTTAAATAACCAGGGGATCTACCATGAAACGAAATTCCAAATTTTCGGGCTCAATTTCGTGTTTTTGTTCGTACCGAAATCGACTCAGTAAATGGAGCTTAAAATTTCGTTTATCATAAATCCTATCCTAATAGTCCAGAGGAACGATAATTTAACATTTATAATAATTGTAAAAGGCATGTATTATGTAAATTTAACATCAAATTTCCTTATCGTTCGTCCCTGAAATTTCGGAAAATATTTCATGCTCTTAGGTCGTTTCTGGTTGTCGGTATGTCTAAGGGAAATGTTTTATTAGTTAGATTAAATGTTTTCACCAACATGGGCCGAAAAAAAAACAAAATATTTGAGCCTCCCATATATATAACATCTGGAGTATTTGGCTTAGGGTATTATACCCCCGTACCCTGTACTTTCACTGGCACAGCTCACCCGTCAAACTATACAGCAGAAGTACGAGAGGGCCAGAGGTAGTGCAGATGAGATTAGCACAATGTACGAGTATGGACGGCACCTTGAGGTTGATGGAGACGAGCCAGCGCTGCAGGCGCTCGTTGGTCCACACGAGCACGTCGCGCGCGGCGTGCTCGGCGGCGCGCCGCCGCTCCTCCAGCGCGCGCACGCTGTAGCCCACGCGCTTCAGGCACGCCACGCCGAAGTGCAGCGACGTCCTGCGCCCAACACCAGACAACACCACTCACTACTAAACTTTCTGAGTCTCTCTACCTTATATATTGATTAAACGATACCATCTCCAAAACTTACGTAAGCGACACGTGGCAAATCTACCGCCATCTCTTGGATAAATGATGTTTCTTATATTTCGTTTGTTTTAAAATTAAATAGACATACAAAACTGTTTTGGTACCAATGGTTAGATTATACTAGTATGGTGGATGGCGGTAACCATTAGTGGTTTGTATGACATAACAATAATGACATAAACCTCTTAGTTGATTACGAGTTGCCTTTAATGACAATAATTCCGTACTATCGCCATACCGTATTGACGGATTCTATGTTTAATACGGCAAGAATGATTACAGTAAAAAAAAAATATATTAAATATAAAAAAAATAGATATCTTGACATACTATCTATATAATTCTATAAAGAAATTTGGTATTATATGTCACAAGAATAATTATAAATATTTGTCTGAAAGTAGATGTTACCTGTGAAAACTGTCGACCATTTTGAGCTGTGTCCGCAAGTCCCGCTTGGTGAGATGCTCCAGCATTCGCGCGTCCACCAGGCACTCCATAAATGTCGTCCTATATTGCGGTAATCCTGAATAACACAAGCAAACATAGTTGTAAATATTTTTATAATTTAAATGTATTTACTTTATAAATAGAAAATTATTTTAACAGAAAAGCATCGACAAAATAAAATATTTTTTTTGAATTGTGAAAAATATCATAAAGCATACTGTTTTAGAAGTTTAATACATTAGATTAAAATGAAAGTTGTTTATCATGGGTGTTACAGTCTTAATTTGGTGCCGTGACCAGGATTTAGAATTTATTAATATGTTAATTAAAACGAAAATAACTTTAATATACAGATATTACAACATTATAACCAAGCTAATAACTAAATATATAAAGGATAGGTGTGCATAGTGATAGGTAGTTTACCGAGCGATGGCAGCCAGACGTTGCCGATCCACTCGTGGTTCATGTCCCCGAAGGCGAGTGCGGCGCAGGCGGTGCCGCGCGGCGCGGACGGTGACGTCAGCGACACCATCTCTTGGATGGCTAGTCGTAATTTTAGACGATGCAGCGGGTTGCTAATACCTGTAGATGCATTTGAATCCATATACACCTCTTTATTCTCATTAAATCAAGTATTAATAAACTATATTATTATTATTTCAAGAGATCACATCTCCCCTCTTAAGGATAGGAGATGGCAAACTAATCTCCGGCAGAAGCACAGTCGACCGAGGCTCAGAGTCCCAGGGAGAAACCGGCGTACAATGCAGGCAGCATCTAAGAGCACCGCTTTCTACATCTTAACCGGGAGTGAGCCGCCTCGGAATCCCAATCTTCTGAGATGTTGTTCCAGACTAGTTGGGATATGACCGACAAAGTGATTGGAATGATTTCAAGAGGTTCTCGTCATGCGGTATGGTGACATCCACCAAAAACACACTCGAGAGTGCCCGATCCATCACCACGATATCAGGTTTGTTCGCAAGAACTGTCCTGTCCGTGTATATCATTATTATAAATTAAATAGGAAAGTATACAAAGTGATTTTGAAACAATCTGTTACAGAAAACTTTAAAACAGAAGGGAATAATGGTTTAAAATATTTTTATAGTATTTATAATGATAAATAAGCTGTCTGGATAGCAAAGGTTGATTGGAATGTGTTATCGCTTATAGATATATATTACTATAGGATTGCATTTATACTATTCTTTTTTGTATACATAAAGGTATTATTATATCAGAATAACAATTAAACATAATAGTGCATAAGGACGAGCTTATCTCTAAAAGAGATATTATATAAAATACACAAATATAATAAGTAAGTACATTAACATTGTAAGAAATAATTATTTTTTAGACGCGATTTGAAAATCCTAATGCTTGGGCTATTTCTAATTTGAAGTCTCGACAAAAAAGTCTGGATATGCTTGACCAGACTGAGTCTATCTATAAGATGGATTATCTTTCATTGCTGGTCCTGTTAAATTAATGTTAGGAGTAGGTGCGTGCACTGACCGATCTCGCGCTGTATCTCCTGGTCGGAGAGCGCGGACATGATGGCGCCGGACTTGACGTTGGCGCGGCAGGCGGCCACATACCAGGCGGGCATGCCCACCCACAGCTCGAGCCACGCCACCACGGTGGGCCCGTTCCATAGCGCGAACGGCGTGCCCGCGCGCATGGCCTCGCCCAGCAGCTCGTGCCGGTAGTCGCGCTCCCTGCGCACGCGCACGCATGCATTACATTTACCGTTACTACTACTCTAGCACACCTATCAACTTCTGACTACTGGTCAGGAAAATATTACCCTACCGTTGCGAGGTATTATCCCGTTGGCCCTGTCGACCGACTTGGAGTATGATTTTAGTGAGTCTTTTTTCTGATGTAATGGTAATCCAATTTAGTGTGTTGTTATCCCTTAGTCGTCTGTTGCGGTATTTTAGACAGTGACAAATTCATTCTCTATTACAATAGAGATATTTGAATATGAGAATTGTATTGGAATAACGAAAGTAGCGAAAACGTATCTATCGGCAAATTCGCAAAGGCAAATGACTGCCTCACAACGTATTCGGCTCTGAGTTCCCTCATATATTACAAAATGTGTTTAGCCTTGCGCTTATGTAAAGAGCGTGAGTATAGGCGTGGACTGACTTGGTCTTGGAGCGCGCGTAGTCCTGGTGCTGCAGGTGCTGGTGCGGCGAGTGGTGGTCGGCGGGTGGCGTGGTGTCGTCGGCCAGTGACGCCAGCCCCAGTGACGACGCCGACGACAGCGACCGCGCACCGCCACCGCTGCCAGCGCCGCCTTGCAGCTGCCGCGAGTACAACGTCACGTATTATAGCAACGACAACAAAAACGGGAAAGATACACACATCAAAACGGATTAATAAACCTTTTTAACTCTTTAATGTACCAAAAACATACAAATATGTTCTCCTACGAACACTTAGGTTATGGAATGAGCTGTTCTGTAAAAGATTGGCATAGCAATAAGACCGCCTTTTATTACTCAATATATATATTTTATTCTGTACTATGTCAATTGAATTTTCAAATTGTCGTTGTATATCTTTTTTTTTTATACCACTGAGGTGGCAAACAAGCATACGGTCCACCTGATGGTAAGCGGTTACCGTAGCCTATGAACGCCCGCAACAGCCGAGGTATTACGCGCGCGTTGCCGACCCTGAAGAAACCTCTTTACCCCCCTTTTGAAGAACCCCATGCTGTAGTCTCCCGGGAAAACCTCGGCAGGGAGCTCATTCCATAACCTGAGTGTTCGTGGGAGAAAGCATAGATAGATAGATCACTCTTCAGTCGTACACTCTTGACAGAGTGTACCTCCTTCGCGATTGAGGTCCTCGCAATATATTTCCATCTACTTCTGTTCACAGCCGAGCGAGAACATTCCACAATAAGATAGATAGATAGATAAACACTTTATTTGAGCCATTTATGACACACGTAAATTAACAAGTGAGTTCATGCAATCAAATTAATTACACATTCAAAGTCGCATTCAAAGTCGGGCAGCTCGAATTGTTGACGATCGGCGTCTTACTGTCCGGCTCGACCCACTGAAACTGCGTAGAGATGTTGCATCTCTGTGTATCTTCTACCGAATTTATCATGGGGAGTGCTCTGAAGAATTGTTCGGATTGATACCTGCTGCAAATTTTCACCATCGTACAACCCGCCATAAACTAAAATTTCATCCCAACCATCTGGACGAGTGGCGGTCCTCCACCGTGCGTTTTTCAAGGCACTTTCTTCCTCGCACAACCACTCTTTGGAATCAACTTCCAGCAGCAGTATTTCCGAACCGATACGACAACATAACCTTCAAGAAAAGAGCATATTCCTTTTTAAAAGGCCGGCAGCACACCTGCAATGCCGTAGGTGTTGTGGGTGACCATGGGCGGCGGTAGTCACTTACCATCAGGTGAGCCGCATGCTCGTTTGCCCCCTGTGTTGTAAAAAAAAAAACTTTTTTTTTTTAATATAAAACAAAAGGTAAAATACAAAAATATGTTTTCGCCGTGTGTGTCGCAGTGACCCAAATAGGCTACAGCTCTGTGATAGTTTTGCTTAGAAGCAAAGCACTGATTTTCAGCTGCAGCCTGATTATAGTTAAACTTACCGGCATGCCGACCTTCTCTTTCTTGCTGAAGAACCTGCCGAGAGAACTCTTGATGCCGCGCTTCTTCTGCTGGTGCATGGAGGCGATGGAGACGGCGGAGGCGGCTGCGGCCACGCCCCGCGGCAGGCCGGGCGACGCGCCGCCGTAGCCGCCGCCGCCCAGCGTGCCCAGCGACTCTTGGCTCGAGCTGTGGCCATGCGTTACATGCGTTATTACAACCCATCAATGTCCCACTGCCAACCACGATCTCTTGCCGTAAGTAAAGAAGACTGGCATACAATTAACACGTTAGCTTAACAATTTAATGTAAACAGATTTATACAGTCTACAGATTTATTATAAGTATAGATTAAGAGCTGTAATTATGAATAAGATCAAAAACGCCATCGTAACTACTATTATAAAGGTTAAAATTATAATAATTATTACAGGACGGTGTAACATAGCGTTCTATAATTATGGTAAACTTCAACAATTCTGAGAATGACAGGCATGACGGTTTAAAACTCTGTATATAGTAGCGAGGGTTTGTGTTGTAATATAATGGAATTACTAGTGGTTTAGCCAAGTTATACTGTGAACATACTACTCTACACTGTTATAGGGACACACAGTATTAAATTAAACTCAACGTACCGTTATAAAATCCAAAAATAAGGTCCATTATAAATTATTATTCACATCCATAGTAATTCCATTTTATTTATCAAAAATTTATAAAAAAAAATATTAAAAAGTCACTGCTAAATAAAAGAATACAATTATAAATAAAAAAAAAGGATATATTAATGACACATTTAAAATAATACTTGTCTTTAAGTCTCATATTAAGTTCATTACAACATTTGTTTACAGTTAATATTGTCCCACTATTGGACAAAGGCAATCCCCGTTACTATCTTTTTTCACTGCCCACTCTTTACCGATGTAATTTTTGAGTAGCAGTGTTTTTTTAAAAACTATAACTGATCAATTATATTTAGTGATATATTAAAATACA